ATAAGATATAGAACATAATTACAAAATATAGAATAAAAATTGCAATAAAAAATTAAAAATTGCAATAAAAAAATTAAAATAAAAAATTAAAATTAAAACTAAAAACCAGACTCATTGAAGACACAACACATATACTCATCAATATTATAGAAGGGATTCTGTAAGAGAAATCGCTTTACTTTGTTACGAAAGACAACACAAGAATTTATCTGTTTAAAATGCGTTGGCAACTTATTATATAATTTAATGGACATAATAAAAGGGCCATTAGCCGTTAACGTTAGGCGATGCTGGGGTATTTTTAAATTAAGAGATTCTCTCAGATTATAGCCAGAAGACTGAGTTGTATTGGCGCGTGTAATGAAATTTGTTAAATGGTTTTTCACATATGTAACACAGCTTAAAATATATAGTGAATAAACTGTAAGAATACCTAATCTTTTAAATAATTGTCTGCAAGAATCTCGTGCCTTTGAATTAGTCATTGTACGTATAATCTTTTTTTGGAGAATAAATAAATCTTTAATATGTGACGAGTTACCCCAACAAATAATGCAGTAGCTTAAATTAGACTGAACATAACCAAAGTAATACATTTTTAAAATTTCCAAATCTACAAATTTGCCTAAACGCCAAAGAACAAAACAATGTTTTGCCAATTTATTCAATAATTCGTTAATATGATTTAACCAAGATAACTTTGAATCCAAGAGGACTCCCAAAAATTTTACTGAAGTATTTTGTTGAATAGTTTTGTTGTTAAATTTGACTAATATACTACAATTTATTTCTTTAGTATTGAACACGATCAGATCAGTTTTTGTGCCATTTAAAGCTAAATTATTATTTTTACAATAATTTTGCATGCTAATCACAACACTTGATGCAAGGCCACTAAGTGCCGCAATAGATTCCGATTTAACCGCCACAGAAGTGTCATCTGCGAACATTGTTACAAATCTTTTTGAATTAGCAATCATTTCAATGTTATTAATAAATAGTAAGAACAAAAATGGGCCTAAAATGCTCCCTTGAGGGACACCTAATTGGATATGCCTCGGTTGTGAAAAATATTGACTACCATTGACATTTAAAAGAACTTCTTGAGTTCTTCCTTGTAAATAGCTATTAAGCCAGTTCAGCGCAGGACCTCTTATGCCATACCTTTCTAACTTGCTTAACAAAAGTGTATGATCAACTACATCGAATGCCCTAGTCAAATCAAATAATATACATGCACATTTGTCTTTATTTTCTAATGCATTTAATATAAAGCTATATAAAGATAAAATTGCATCTTGTGTCGCCAAACTTTTTCTAAATCCGAACTGATTTTTATTAATTATGTTATTATTTTCTGCGAAACTTAATATTCTTAAATAAAATGCCCTTTCAAATATTTTAGAAAATACAGAAAGGAGTGCTATTCCTCGGTAATTAGATATTAAATACTTATCATTCTTTTTATGGATAGGAATAATTACAGCTTTTTTTAATATAGAAGGGAAATATCCTTCCTATAAAAGATAGATTGATCAAACTAGTCAAAGGAACGGATATAAATGAGATTATTTTATTAAAAATTGTGCATGGAATGCTATCAAAACGCCGAATTTTTCGTGCAAACTTTCCTAATTATATCCATTACTTCTATTTCTGTAAAAGGGAACAAGAATATGGAATTAGACACAAAAGGGATGCCTAAAGACACAAACCTTTGAAACTTTTTATCATGTAAGCACATGGCCGAATCGAATATTCCGATGCTGAATTTTCTGCTCTTTCCATTTCGGGGGTCGAAAAGGAGGGTCGCAATTTAAAAAACCGACATGATCATGACATTACCTTGAACATTGACCTTGACATAAAGGTCAAGGTTACCATCGGATGCGCCCTGAAACATGCTGAGACTTTTGTCCTCACCATTTATCCTAAAAATGCATTCCCGCTGAGATTTTTGGGGGTTTCCATACTTTCAACTAACCCTGTATGATATGACAGCAGGATGGTAGGTAAGAACAAATGGACAGTCTGTGATAAGGTGTTTGTAATACGGTAAGTAATTTCGCGATTTTTTCCGTAAGCTAAGTATTTGTGTTTTCACTTTCATTGTCAATGAAATCACTATGTGATTATGGAGGAAACATGCTTGTTGTATACAAATCAAGAAAGAGTTCAGATGGTTAGAGCTCACTTTTGCAAGAAGAAAAAGGTGCGGCTGCAAGAAGATGATATCAAATGAATCATTCCAACAGGTAAGGATTAAATAAGAAAATGTTTGATAGTTCAACATTTAAGAGATTCTGTGAAAGGTGGTTCACTCAGTAGAACATCCTATAACACAGGATGATTCACAACACGCGTCATGAAAAATGGAGAATTTTTGTAAAATCCTTATAATTTCCGAGAAGGAAATTATTGAAGTTGTAGTATTTTCAACCTTTACATCGCCGGGCTACTGTAGTCTCTAGCGCCATTCGCGTGGCTCCAGGCGATTCCGATGTTAGTATTTACGTTTTTGGGATAGTGTTTACATTAGTTTTTCGAGTATCAAAAATGGTTTACGTGTATAGCAACTCGGGGAGTTGATGGATATCGTTTTATTTTATGGTGAAGCAAGATAACATTTGTGTTAGTTTGTAGAAACTGGGTAAGACGGACAATGTGTTTACACGTCGGTGAACAAAATTTTGAACAGTTGTACTATCATGTAAGTATGTCAAATTATTTTATTAATAAAAATCACAAATTAAGTTTGTTAATTAATAATAACCATAGCGGCAAAAGCAGTTGAATTTGCAGATATAAAATAGGTGTTATAAAATTTTATTTATTCTTTACTTGGGAAAGAAATTCTTTACATTTTTTTCCAGTGCCGTGCAGAAGTGAATTTTTAAATCATTTTCAAACTGACCTTTTTGATTTTCTTTTACAAAATTGTATTTGTAAGAGTCCCCTGTACATTCAATTTTTTTTTGGATAAGTTCTGATTCGCCCTGTATAACATAAGACATGGGAATAAGATTATGACTTCTAGTTTATGGTAAGAACTATATTTATTGTATATCGATTAATAATACTCATTTTTAGGTGATTAAAAATGGATATTTGTTTTCGCACTTTTTCACTAATCGCTATAGACCTACATACTTGTCCTACCAACAGAGATTGCACAGCATATTTAGATAGCGTTTAGCTCAGTTTTGCACTAATGTTCTAAAACACAGCGTAATTATTTCAATTACCTAAGACTATTTTAATCTACACTATTCAAAATAAAAATGAAGCAATTATGTATATTGTATATACATTAAATTTATTAAATAAAACTCAAAAGTTATAAATTTCATTAACATTCCGTCTTTTCTTAGTAGGACCATATTATTGATACATTCATGGAAAATTGCATCTAAATATTTAAAGAAGTAATTATATTCACATGTAAATAAAACACATAAATATTTAACAGTATCATATGCAAATTAATAGGAAGCAATAAAAGACTTAGAATTTACATATATTCATTTTCCATTTCCATGAAATTTAACTATAATCTTTAATTAACAATACAAACATTTGAAAAGCATATAAAGGATAACATTCGATACAACAATATATGACCTACTGTGAAAATAGACTGTTTCTTACCGACTAACTAATTAAAATTATTTAGAGGATACTTTTGTATTCGAAAACATCATTATGTACAAAATTGAGAAGAATGGGGCTTTTTCATACAGCCTAAACTATCTGAAGATGACGTATCAAATTCCTCTCTCTATGGATAAGTCTTATCTGAAGAAGTTCGTCGCAATTTATTTGCTGTCGAAGGTGGTTAGCTTCTTCTTTACTATTATTGGGCCTTTACTGTTTCTAATAGTTATAATAGGGAGTAAGTAAACGTAAGAGTAGAATAGTATTTAGCTAAATAGTTTTACGCCTAATTTATTTTTAGCAAAGATAGGTATACCTAACTATTTTTATTACAGCTCATTCAGAAACGGATATAAGCGAAGCTACTTCTATTGCTTTAGGTGGCACTGCAGCATTTCTAGTAAATGTATTATTTACTTTAAAATACAAACAATGGTCCGACTTTTTCAAAGATCTCGAAGACTTAAAAAAATTCGGCAAACCAGCGTCTTACCAAAAAACGGTAAATTTCTTAAACCGCTTCGGATACATTAGCATCTTTGGTTCCTTTATGGTCATAATAATTTACGGCTTGACAGCTTGGTACAACACCAAATTGATCAAAGAGATCAATGAAGATTTTGATCAAATTAGCCCTGTATTAGTCCCGATATGGCTACCATTCGGTGCCAATAATCTAACCGCAGGTACCATCATTTTTACGATGCAAATCATCTTCACTGGACTTCTTACAGGTCAACCGCTTCTAATTCAAAGCTTCATAATATACGAGTCAACAGAGATATTGATATGTTACATCAATCACTTGAATGATAACTTCAAGAAAACATTCGAAGCATCATCGAGGGTAGAAATGAGAAATAGGCTTCGGTTTTGCATCGGTTACCATGTCCACTTACTTAAGTAGGTACTCAGTCCTTTTGATCTTATCGTTTTTGTAAAATTGGGTATAAAATTGTATGTGCAGTTTCCCAGTTCAAATTTTTCGTTTTAGACTGGGATACCGTCTTAGTTCACTTGTAAAATATACAGTTGGGCACATGTCCCTGTTGTCTGCCTTGGTTTGCGGTTGTATGGCCAATCAAATGTTAACTGTAAGTACTGCATTATTTAAATATCCAGCAACACTAAAAACCAAACCTTTCTAATTAATTTTAGATAGTTTTTCCGATTCATTGAAGGATATATTGATAGCTTAGTTGAAAAGAGTATGAATGTCTTAATAGATGAAAAGAATTATCATCCTTCACTTTTCATCAAATGTAATATTAACCCGCTAATAGTTTAAATTTCTGGAAAGCTACTCATAGCTCTATAAGCCTTTATTAGTTGTCAAATGAGACTTTCTGAATGAATTTAGTGGTCTTGATACATACCGCAGTAAATCAACTTCATAATAAACTTGCTTCTATATTTCAAGCATCCGTTACTAAACACATGGATCACAGAGTGTATATCCTCCTTGGTTTAATATTAATCTGATATTTAATCTTAGACAGAAATCTAAATGTTTTAATATAAAGGAACCAAGGACATGTCAGTCCTTGATCAATTCAAAACTCGAGCGGTCAGTTAAAGTGGTTGTTTACAGATAGACCAGGGCGGATCTGTTTTGAGGTGGATGTGAGAGGGGGCAAGCAAATTTTTTTTGGATTACCTTCATTAAAACTTACATAATAAAAGTGTAGATCCCTAGATCTGGGCGAGGTCCGGAACATTTTCAAAATTGCAAAAATGTTACAAACATTTAAAAAATACCTATTGCATCTGAGTTTTTTACTTACATCTTGAAACCTATGTATTTTGGAAAAATATTGAAGAGGAAAATGTTTTGGAATTGAATTTTGCACAATATACTGTAAGTTAAATATGTTTAAATTTATTACCTATCTTGCAAAATAGCATTAATTGATGAAAAAAAGGCAAAACAATCAAGTTTTTTTGAATAATTCTTTTCAAAATATTTTAATTTCTCAGAGGGCATTCTAATTTTGGTAAAAAAAAAAAACTATAGAGTATAATAAAACGACACACCAAATTTCAATAAAATCGCTTCGATAGTTTTCGCAAAATAATATTTTGAAAAAAAATTCAATATGTTGCACAGCCTGAAATAAAGCATCTAGATATTTGAAAATTTTTTCACCTAGAATAGACCGCTCAACCTTTCAAATGATTTTCGAAAAACTGAAATGTGTTGATTAGGACGGCCACAGTAAATTTTTAAAGTAAACCTTTTTTAGTTTTAAACAATTAGACTACCTACATTTTATCAAATTGCAATTTACTTTTTTTTTTCAAAAATTATAAATTTAAATAGGTACTAATTTTTCTTAATTTTATCTGTAGTTAACAAAAAAATTAATTTCCAAATAATTTTTTTTTAATGTTTCCAAATATATTTTTTTTAATTTGAATATTCGAAATTTTTTTTTTTTATTTTATTCAAAAAATTATTTTGTGAAAACTATTGAACCGATTTTAATGAAATTTGGTGTGTTGTGTTATTATACTATAAAGTTTTTTTTATCAAAATAAGAATACCCTCGGAGCAATTAAAATATTTAAAAAAATTATCCAAAAAACTTGATTTTGCCTTTTTTTCATCAATTATTATTGCTATTTTGCAACATCGGTAATAAATTTAAATAGTTTTTACTTACAGTATAAAATTTATTTCTAAAACGTTTTTCCTCTTCAATATTCTTCCAAAATGCATAGGTTCCAAGATATAAGTAAAACACTGAGATAAAATAGGTATTTTTTTAAAATTGTTTAAACATTTTTGCAATTTTGAAAATATTCCGGACGTCGCCCGGATCTAAGGATCTACACTTTTATTATGTGAGTTGTACTGAAGGTATTCCAGCAAAAGTGAACTTACCCCCTCTAATATCCAAGAAGTGGGATATTTCGAAAGATCCAACCTGGTGTAAGATTGGATAGTCAATATATAGCAAACTCGGAAGTCGGAAGCAAATATAAACCAGGGTCTTTCCCGTTCTTAGAATTATGTAAATTCTAAATTCAATAACAAGTAAGTTAGATGTCCCTCTAATATTTACAAATTTCTTTCAGAGTTCTTATAATAAATAACCTAACACAAAATTATATAAATTCAGATATTGCGGAATTGGATAATTTAGCTTCTTCGACCAAGATATCTTGCGTTATTTAAAAAAATTCAAATCTAAGACTACTAGCGGACCTGACGGAATTTCAGCACTTAATCCTTTGGCAGTGTTCTAATCTCATTTTTCACTCTGATATTTTCCGTTGTATATAGAAATTATTTAAAATTAAATATATTAGAGAACACACTTTTTGTTGACTTATATCTGACACGCGCCTTTAGGTAACGTTTGCCATCTGAATCCAGAAATGATCCCAGTTTTTCTCTCTATCACGTAAGCGTTTTACTCCTTTTTTCAAAAAATCATACAAAGTATACTTTTGTCCATATAAAGGTTTGTGTATTGTTACTATAAATCAAATCGTATACAAATAGTGAAGTTCTGCTTCAAAACATACATACTAAGATAAAAATGTACGCTTATAGCTTTACCTGGAGTGTCCAATCTGATGACAGTCTCGCTTGATGCTCCAACAATAGTTAGCAGTCATATGTATATCCCATCTACCTTAATATAATACCTCCATAATCTTGGTAGAATCGTTCGCCTTACTCATTATTGACTGCAACGGGAAGTCATCAAGATGCCTTTGTATTCTGTTCTCGTTTATTTCCAAGAAAGTCATTGATAACCAAGCATTCATTTGAGGTTTATCTTTAATGAGCTGCCGAGTTTGTGGACCGTCAGATACACCGCCTTTGTCTTTTCAAGAGAAAGGTTACGAAATGCAAAAATAAGATACTTGAAACAGTTCCCTTCAGTTGGTAGAGCTTTGACGAATTGCTTCATTAGATTCAGTTTTCAATGCAGAGGTGGGAATATAATATTCGTTCTGTCAACAAGTGGCTCATGAAGAATGTTCGGATCACCAGATTTGAGGTCCAATCTTAAAGGCCAATTTGACTCCACCCAATTCTTCACACGAGCTCTGCTGTCCCACAGAGAAAACAGGAATTTTGCTTGACAGTGCAATGACTTACTTTATGTCTCCATAATCTTCACGAAAATAAACTGAATGGTCAATTGGAATGGCATCTAATGATTGGTTAATCAAAAACAGAATGTACCTCAATTCACTACATATTGACAATCTTGAAAAGGTTCAGTGCCGTTAAGACTATTCGATTTGATGGTGATACCCTCCTTTCCTCAGTCGGTTCTGTTGGATCGCTTTCAATTTATTTCACTTGTTAATGGACGTAATATTAGAAAGAATTACCCGCTACACAACATTTGCAATATTTATAATAAAGGGTTGACTTCTACTGGCCTTTTTTCCTTTAACTTAGCTCATATTAAGAAAATTTTATAAAGTATTATATCTCATTTGTTTGAATTTTTTTGTGTATATCATTCAGTTATATAATTTTTCACGCTATAAGTATCTGCTCAACTTTCCGTTTTCTAAGACCATCATTATTGAACCTGAAGTTCAATTTATTAAAAGATTCTTTAATTTTGCTTTTTTTATACAATATGTTTTAGACCAAACCCATAGGATCCTTTACATTTTTGATAGCTTGGCTAATTGCCGTATTTTCTTATTGCCATGCAGGTCAAAGGATCAAAGACAAGGTTGGTAGACTAATTTCCATGAAAACTTAAAAAAGTTAATAAAGACCATGCTTTTGTAGACTATATCCATCGGTGATGCATTATATGAATCCAAGTGGTACAATGCCGATAATGAGACTATGAAAGATGTGCAGTTCATATTAATGAGATGTCGAAAGCCGATATGCTATGAAGCGATACCTCTGGGAATAACCGATTACCCCTTTTATTTTATGGTAAAAACTGAAATTGTCTTACGTTTATAATGCGTTACTTTTACTTACATTCCATAAGCAAAAGATGTTGCGAAATGGAAAGTTCAAATTTACAACAGAATATTAATAGCAGATATGATAGGCAAAGGCATTTTCGGTATACAGGATCGTGTAACTTTTGTATTTCACATTCTTTAAAAACAAAAAAGTTAATGGGGGAGGTCAAATTATAGTGAATCATCCTGTACATCTCAAGGCAACTTTTAAAATCATAATTGTTTTCCTGGAAGTACAGTCTACTTAGAAAATTGTACTTTTTCGATGTAATTTACCTTGCTCTTTCTAGCATGGAAGTATTGTTAAAAAAATAACCTTGAAATCGTTCAAAATTATTACGTACCAAATTTGGATCAGAACGTTAACATCGGAAACGTTTTTTACACTTTCTTAGCACTCTTAAAAAATAAATCGGAAATAAAAAATAATTATATCCCTTTTATTGTTCTAGGTGCATTGTTCAATTGTTTATTAATCTATTTAATTTCAGATGATCAAAACTGGATATTCTTATTTCACATTGTTAAACCAGTCTACATAGATGTGAATGGTATTGCTTTCGGAAATTGACACAACAAATAAAACACAATTTAGAAATAGCGATCTTTGATTTCACCATAAGCAACCGATTATTCCCTATTGGAATATGTACTTCTAAACAAAAAGGCAAGATGGAACACCATAAATTTTCAACAGATTTTCATTTATATGTAGATTTATAAAGCAATAAAAATCTAGCAGTAGCAAGTATTAACTTTTCTTCTTCAGCTGTTTCGATATCAATTTTTTCAAATACAAGTTTCCACTAATTGAACTTTTGAGTATCTCAAAAAAGTCGTTTTAAAAATAACACAAACACGCATAAAAGTTTATTCTTTTGATCAGACCCTGGTATTGGCATGTTTTAAGATCCATTGAACATGAATCTGAAGTCAATTTGGCGTTAGCACTCATACCGGAAAGGTATCCGATTTAGGGTAAAAGTATTCGGTAGTTTTCTTTTAACAAGGCAATTGTCTGTTGTCTTCAAAAGTAGTCCACCATCATATTCATATGTCCCACTTACCCTGACACCGTTTTTCCATTTCCTTTAAAGAAGAAAACTTTTTCGAGGAAGATGAAGAGGAAGACGAGAAGGAATACGAAGCAATGACAAGGAAATTGATTTATTTTATTTTTATACATATACCCTGGGATTTAAAGAAACATCCGCAAACGTTTAATCAGAGTGAGTTAAATGATCTTACTCTAAGTTTAATAAAAAGGCGGATCTGAATTAGGATACAGAACTGTAAAAAAAAATTATCTGTGTATTGAAGATAGTGCGTTAGTGTATTGTTCCGAACCTATAAACGAGTTAAAATAAAAACGAGTGGGAGGATATTCACTGACTCTTCAAAACAAAACTTGGAGGTAGTTTAGCTAAAAATGGTAATAAATATACTTCAGTTTCAATACAACACTCAACAAAGCTGAAAAAAAATTATGGCAATATGAAATAGGTAGAAAAAAATAAGAAGTTCAGAGCGCATATGGAAAATTTGTGGATATTTCAAAATGGAGCAGCAATCAGATTCTAAGTATCCCTGTTCATGAATCTGTAGAGATAGGAAGAATAGCTATGAACAAAAAACTCAGCTTAATCGAGATCTGAATCCAGGATCTTTTAACTTTACTCAAGTGCGTTTGCTAGATCAATCCAATGCTCTGTTTCCTCCATTACACAAAATTTGAACTAATGAAAGAATTCGTTAAGGCTTTTGACAAGGCTTCAAAAATGTAACGAAGAACTACTTGTGTAACCACAAAAGTAACAATTATAAAGGTATAAGGGTAAGTGGAAGATGAGTAGTATGACAGCAGCCTACTGTTAAATATGTTTAAAGAAGACAAAATGTAAGGTTAGAGGTGAAGAGACACACTACATAGATATTTTGAAAAGCATCTTTTTTTAGGAATTGGGTGGGCATATTCTAGAAGATTCACGTTCACTGTGTTCCAATACACAGGGTGTAAGAACTGCTATTACTTCAGCATGAGATATAGCTATCATAAATGAACAAAGAAGTTGTATATTACAGGGGTGTAAGTTAAACAGCGATATTGGGGAGTTTCATCATAACATGACAACAGCGTTTAACCTGCTGCTGCACACCACGTATGCACGCGGCAGACTTGTCCTACGGAAAAAATGTAAACAGCTATTATTGTGAAACATTTAATAAATTTTAAGACAATTGTTTTCCAATTTTTAAATAAATAAAATAAAATGTATATATTTTGTAGTACGAAGATAGTGTTATTAAATTTTAGGTCGAATTTTAGTAATTATGAATCTCTTAAAACACAAACTTAACTTTTAATTAAATTATGTATTTGAAAAATATGTAATTAAAATACCCAAAGATTCACGTCGTCCAAATAATCATACGTATTAAAAATAATTTAGATACTTACCAAAAAGCAAAATTCAGTAATTTTTAAACGCATAAGTACAAAACAAACTACAACAAATGCTGAAAATGTCCACCACCATTTTCGAAGCATGCACGACACCTTCGAATCCAATTTTTGCGCGCTCGCTGGAAGACACCTCAAAAAAAAGGAAATAGTGGTATGCAAAAAACACTCCGACACGGTCGAATCCAGATACCAACTGAATTGCATATTGGTGGTTGCTGGATAGGATGATGGCATTCAGTATACGGACCAACCTCTCCCACTAAGTTACAATCCTTAAGCATATTCACAAATAACTCATTTTATGGGGATTTAGGGGCAACATACCATTTTTTTGGTTGTTTAGTAATAATTATATCCGTGTTGAATTTGTAGAAATAGATCAATGTCTTTGACAAATGGTATTCCATTTGGGAAAAAATTCACATAAAGAACTGTTAATGAAACAAATATAAATTTTTCCTCATTTTTTATATAATTCATTTAGCATAAATGTAACTGTAAATACTAAAAATATTAATATAAATACTGTGAATACAAAAATTTGAAATCCTATCTAATGTAAGAATAACATCAAAATTTTAATAGTTTACAAAATATTACTTTATAAATAAATATATAATTATTTGTATAAAAATAAACTTTTATAGATACAAAGACTTCAGTGATTGGGAGGGGGAGGAAAGGGGGCATTTTCTTCATAAATCATCACCAGAGAACTATAAGATCGTCTTTTTTTCTTTGGCTGCCAAAGAAAATGGAATTTTACAATTTTGAACAGAAAACAAAATGACATTCTGACTTACTTTTGCTATATTTGCAGAATTTTCGTCACTACTACTGCTAGATGTAATTCCTTCATCCAACGTTAGCTTTTTCGACAACCCCTCGAGTTCCATATCTATATACAATTGATTTAATTGGTCGTTTACCATCACCGGCTGCAAGAAAAATAAGAGAAGAAATAATTAATAAAAATTTCAATCCTTCAGTCATAAACAAAATTTTAAACCAGAAACCAGAATATAGTTTTCCTAAGGCTTTTGATACGCTAAATCTGAATACAAGGAAAAAGAGTGTTTGGATCAGAAAGGTCATTCAAAGCGCTTGCGGATGTGACAACTGATTATTGCCATAAGAAATAAACATGCGATAGCATTGAACACTTTGCAATAGAAGGGAAAAAGAGAAAATGTCGGTAAGTATTGCGTCATATTGAGGACAACTTTAGTAGAAAGTTTATGACTGGGATTCATACTTTGATAAATCCGTGTTATTCGATGCATTTATCAATACGCTATGGTTAACATAGCATACAAGAGGTGGGCAGCGCTAAGAAATGACATGAGATTTGCGGAGAAAAATTACCTCAACCATCAGCGCGTCGAAATCATCAGTAGGTATGATTTTTGGTTTAGAAGGTTAGTCATATTTTGTCGGTCAGTTTAATTGATCACTAAGGAACATTATATATTTTACCAGTTCAACAATTTTTATAGATATTATATTAATTTGTAGACAGTGGTTCAGTTAATTTAAGACTTCTTCAGATTTTGGTGTTTTAAGTTTTGAGTTAAGTGCAAACTTTGTATTCTTATCACTGACTTACCTGAGTTATTTCCTTAAGGACGTTTAAATCTGCTTCTAAAATATCTTCGAGATCTTTAACAGTCATTTGGTACCTATAAATTAGATCCGGGGATGTCGCAACAGACTCTAACCATGGTGGATCTTTTTTCCTAATTGGATAATTCCTACGGTCTTTCCACGTATTCTGAAACAACAATCAAAGAAAACCTTAAAATTTAAACAGTTATGGTAGTGTAAGAAAAAGACATATTACAGAGCTACAACTTTTCATTTATGGAGAAACTCCTTTTGCTTCTATCACTTAAGTATTATTTTTTTAATATCAATTATTGCTTACATCATCTGTTCTATTAGTCCTATTCTCCATGATGTTTGAATCATCGTTAGATCCAGAACCAGTGTCAGTTTTGAGAAATGAAGAATAGGAAGAAGAATAACAACTACTTTCTTCATCGTTAGTTTGGTTGTTGTTATTAAAAGTGTTGTTGTTACTAAAAGTGTTGTTGTTAATAAAAGTGTTGTTGTTTCTATAAGCATTTTCTTTTTTAGGCTCGACGATTTCATTAATCTGAAAAAACATTAACAAAAAATGTATTATTATAATACATACTTAGGCGCATACACAGAAATAAAAAACAATCAGTTAAACGGACTTTTAGTAGTCTGTAGCACTTGTTCTCTATATCACCGTGAAAAATAGAGATAAACACAATACTTAAACCAAAGAGTTTACATTCGAATGTTATTGACTTAGCAATGGGGTTTTGTAATAAAAATAATAGAGTTAAATCAGGAACATCTTTTACAAAGACAAAGAATAGAATACATACATACAAGCATATCCAAACTACTATTGCAAACAAAAGACAACACACATAACAAAAAATAACCTTGCTAGGGTTCTGAATGAACAACTCCATTTCTGTTTCACCATCGGGAGGACTGACCAATGGTGAATCAGGTGAGCACACCGACTGCAAACCCAGATCCTTTCGCGAGCATTCCGACAATGCCTAAAAAAATTGTCCTAGTTATGTTATGAAAACTTCGGTATCTATTGGTATTAGTATTGGTATTTTATTCCACCAATACTTTGTATAATAAGTCTTCCAATTTTCAATAAGGGTGGTTATAATGTAATTTTTCTATATTAAATTCATTTAAAAAGTTTTAGTTACAGTAATAAAGGGTGATTGACAACTTATCCAAAAGATTTTGGCGCTTTCGAGGGAAAAATGTTGAGAGTCGTTATATTTAACTGGGCGACAGGGTGTTTATTGAAAAGTACCTTATTTGACCGCGGCAGCTTTTCGCCTGAATGTAGAACCTTTCCGGATATATATGTGGCAAATGCTGTTACCTTACCGCAGTCGATTTATGGAAGAAATGGAATGTAGCAGCCAAAGAACAAATTTGAAATATTGTGGAAGGAAATTCCCGTATAAGTACGAGTATCCCAATCAACAATGTGGTTTACACGAGGTTCAAATGTATCCCTAACATAGCAAGAATATCCTTGGATTAGGTTTTGTAAATGATAGTTACAATAATTTGCTTAAAACTTAAGATTTACACTTGTGTTAGTTACGGATGAAGCTAGGATAAATAGTTTTCGCAACACATATTATGTCTTGAAAATTCTTGAAAATTCGTAGATAATTGAACGGGATTCAAAAGGTGTAGACATGTTTCAAACATATGTACGTTATATAAAGTTACAGAAAGACGAAAAACAGTTTCCTAGCTGGTTACCACGTCATCAATTTAAATTTTTTTAATGGAAAGAACAAACTCTGAAACTGGAGACTGACTCTTCCGACCAGTATTTACTTTTATATTGGCTACCGTCTCCGTTGGAATTATTTTTATATTTCTGGATGTCTAATGTCTTCTCTGTAGGTATTACTTAGGAATAATGGGTGTCTTGTATCTACTTATGAGCTCAACAGTTGCTGACTTGTTTCCTTTGTTATTATTTAGGTGCAACTTATGTCCCTTTAAACTTCGTCCTAACATGCACCTTGGTTTTTGAGTACATCGCTCTTGCATCTTGGGAAAATGCTACCTCTATGTTCCAAGAGGATTATAGATGGTATTAACAGGTAGGTTAGAGTCGACAGGTTATCAATTTTCCTCATTTTCCTTGATCTTAGACGTTATTCAATTTTTTCTAAGAGCTAATTGATATAGTTCATAATCCATCCAAATGTTCTGGCCTATGAATCAGAACGTCACAAAATAGTAATTTCAAATCATTCACCAGAGCGTCATGGATCAGTATACCGGGTGTTCAAAAAGTTTGGAACCCCCCCTCTATCTCAGAAAATACTGCTCAAACAAAAAAATGATTAGGACAAAAGTCGCAGGGTTTTAAGTGAGCAATCCAACAGTGACCATGACGGACATTTAGAGGTCAAGTGGAAAATTTTAAATGGAACCATATACTATTGACCTTGGAAATGGAAAAATGGAAAATTTTACGTTCGGATATGACCTTGAACATGACCTTCAAGGTCATTTAGAGGTCAAGTTAAAAATTTAAGGTTCCATTTAAAATTTTCAACTTGACCTCTAAATGACCTTGAAGGTCATGGTCAAGGACAAATCCGAACGTAAAATGTCCATTTTTTCCATTTCCAGGGTCAAAAGTATATGGTTCCATTTAAAATTTTCAACTTGACCTCTAAATGACCTTCAAGGTCATGGTCAAGGTCACCGCTGGATTACTCACTCAAAACCCTGCATCCTAATAATTTTTTTGTTTGAGCAGTATTTTCTGAAATAGATGGGGGTTCCAAACTTTCTGAACACCCTGTATATGGCCTGTTAAAAGATAAAATATTAAAATCAACCGATGACGTGGCAACCGACGTGGAAATTGTTTTTATTAGAAAGATCATTAGAAATTATTTCAAATTTATTTACTAGTAACATTATCACCATCTACAAAAACTATTTAACATATTTTTTCAAAGAAGAACTATTCTTATCTGAAAATGTCATCAACTGCAAAACAATACCCATCTGACCCTACCCCGTAAAAAAGGCATAATTACCAACCTTATTAGCCACACTGGCGGAAGCGATGGACCCCATGGCACTTCCAGGTTCAGCCTTAACCGAAGTCGCCTGACTGGCAGGCCTTTGGAACTGGGGGGCTTTCACGGGGGTGCCAGGTTTATGCTCAGTTTGCAGGACAGAACTGCTCGAAAGACCGTTCACCTGTTGCAGATTGCTGATGGGTCGAGCTTCTGGAGTGATGGCTGGAATGGATGGAACCATGGGCACTGGAAGGACGGGCAGGGTGGGGCAGATGAGAGGGGAAGCGGGGTAAAGGGCGCTGTTGTAGTTGTAGATCATTCCGGGCATGTATTGCACTGAAAAAGTATTTGTTAGAAAAAAACGTTTATAGTCCAGTGTAAAAATAGTAGGCAGAAACGTACTCTGTGATTCCATGAGCGTATCACTTTAGAGAGTTCCGAAAATTGTGAAATATAGAATAATAGATATGTCGATATGTCGAAAAGTTATTTTTTATACTTTTATTTTTTTTGTTTTTATTTTTTGAAAATAATTTATGAATTTTTACTTTAATTTTACATTTAAATCGTAATTAAATAGCTAACAAAATATTGAAAATACAAGTTTACTTTGCCTTAATATGTAAAAAAAATAACTTTTTAAATGAACGATAGCTTCATTTATTTATTTAATAATAGTAAAATAATTCCGAAATTGAAATTTTAATTAATATTTCGTTTAACAATAANCATTACTTCTATTTCTGTAAAAGGGAACAAGAATATGGAATTAGACACAAAAGGGATGCCTAAAGACACATCCCTTTGAAACTTTTTATCATGTAAGCACATGGCCGAATCGAATATTCCGATGCTGAATTTTCTGCTCTTTCCATTTCGGGGGTCGAAAAGGAGGGTCGCAATTTAAAAAACCGACATGATCATGACATTACCTTGAACATTGACCTTGACATAAAGGTCAAGGTTACCATCGGATGCGCCCTGAAACATGCTGAGACTTTTGTCCTCACCATTTATCCTAAAAATGCATTCCCGCTGAGATTTTTGGGGGTTTCCATACTTTCAACTAACCCTGTATGATATGACAGCAGGATGGTAGGTAAGAACAAATGGACAGTCTGTGATAAGGTGTTTGTAATACGGTAAGTAATTTCGCGATTTTTTCCGTAAGCTAAGTATTTGTGTTTTCACTTTCATTGTCAATGAAATCACTATGTGATTATGGAGGAAACATGCTTGTTGTATACAAATCAAGAAAGAGTTCAGATGGTTAGAGCTCACTTTTGCAAGAAGAAAAAGGTGCGGCTGCAAGAAGATGATATCAAATGAATCATTCCAACAGGTAAGGATTAAATAAGAAAATGTTTGATAGTTCAACATTTAAGAGATTCTGTGAAAGGTGGTTCACTCAGTAGAACATCCTATAACACAGGATGATTCACAACACGCGTCATGAAAAATGGAGAATTTTTGTAAAATCCTTATAATTTCCGAGAAGGAAATTATTGAAGTTGTAGTATTTTCAACCTTTACATCGCCGGGCTACTGTAGTCTCTAGCGCCATTCGCGTGGCTCCAGGCGATTCCGATGTTAGTATTTACGTTTTTGGGATAGTGTTTACATTAGTTTTTCGAGTATCAAAAATGGTTTACGTGTATAGCAACTCGGGGAGTTGATGGATATCGTTTTATTTTATGGTGAAGCAAGATAACATTTGTGTTAGTTTGTAGAAACTGGGTAAGACGGACAATGTGTTTACACGTCGGTGAACAAAATTTTGAACAGTTGTACTATCATGTAAGTATGTCAAATTATTTTATTAATAAAAATCACAAATTAAGTTTGTTAATTAATAATAACCATAGCGGCAAAAGCAGTTGAATTTGCAGATATAAAATAGGTGTTATAAAATTTTATTTATTCTTTACTTGGGAAAGAAATTCTTTACATTTTTTTCCAGTGCCGTGCAGAAGTGAATTTTTAAATCATTTTCAAACTGACCTTTTTGATTTTCTTTTACAAAATTGTATTTGTAAGAGTCCCCTGTACATTCAATTTTTTTTTGGATAAGTTCTGATTCGCCCTGTATAACATAAGACATGGGAATAAGATTATGACTTCTAGTTTATGGTAAGAACTATATTTATTGTATATCGATTAATAATACTCATTTTTAGGTGATTAAAAATGGATATTTGTTTTCGCACTTTTTCACTAATCGCTATAGACCTACATACTTGTCCTACCAACAGAGATTGCACAGCATATTTAGATAGCGTTTAGCTCAGTTTTGCACTAATGTTCTAAAACACAGCGTAATTATTTCAATTACCTAAGACTATTTTAATCTACACTATTCAAAATAAAAATGAAGCAATTATGTATATTGTATATACATTAAATTTATTAAATAAAACTCAAAAGTTATAAATTTCATTAACATTCCGTCTTTTCTTAGTAGGACCATATTATTGATACATTCATGGAAAATTGCATCTAAATATTTAAAGAAGTAATTATATTCACATGTAAATAAAACACATAAATATTTAACAGTATCATATGCAAATTAATAGGAAGCAATAAAAGACTTAGAATTTACATATATTCATTTTCCATTTCCATGAAATTTAACTATAATCTTTAATTAACAATACAAACATTTGAAAAGCATATAAAGGATAACATTCGATACAACAATATATGACCTACTGTGAAAATAGACTGTTTCTTACCGACTAACTAATTAAAATTATTTAGAGGATACTTTTGTATTCGAAAACATCATTATGTACAAAATTGAGAAGAATGGGGCTTTTTCATACAGCCTAAACTATCTGAAGATGACGTATCAAATTCCTCTCTCTATGGATAAGTCTTATCTGAAGAAGTTCGTCGCAATTTATTTGCTGTCGAAGGTGGTTAGCTTCTTCTTTACTATTATTGGGCCTTTACTGTTTCTAATAGTTATAATAGGGAGTAAGTAAACGTAAGAGTAGAATAGTATTTAGCTAAATAGTTTTACGCCTAATTTATTTTTAGCAAAGATAGGTATACCTAACTATTTTTATTACAGCTCATTCAGAAACGGATATAAGCGAAGCTACTTCTATTGCTTTAGGTGGCACTGCAGCATTTCTAGTAAATGTATTATTTACTTTAAAATACAAACAATGGTCCGACTTTTTCAAAGATCTCGAAGACTTAAAAAAATTCGGCAAACCAGCGTCTTACCAAAAAACGGTAAATTTCTTAAACCGCTTCGGATACATTAGCATCTTTGGTTCCTTTATGGTCATAATAATTTACGGCTTGACAGCTTGGTACAACACCAAATTGATCAAAGAGATCAATGAAGATTTTGATCAAATTAGCCCTGTATTAGTCCCGATATGGCTACCATTCGGTGCCAATAATCTAACCGCAGGTACCATCATTTTTACGATGCAAATCATCTTCACTGGACTTCTTACAGGTCAACCGCTTCTAATTCAAAGCTTCATAATATACGAGTCAACAGAGATATTGATATGTTACATCAATCACTTGAATGATAACTTCAAGAAAACATTCGAAGCATCATCGAGGGTAGAAATGAGAAATAGGCTTCGGTTTTGCATCGGTTACCATGTCCACTTACTTAAGTAGGTACTCAGTCCTTTTGATCTTATCGTTTTTGTAAAATTGGGTATAAAATTGTATGTGCAGTTTCCCAGTTCAAATTTTTCGTTTTAGACTGGGATACCGTCTTAGTTCACTTGTAAAATATACAGTTGGGCACATGTCCCTGTTGTCTGCCTTGGTTTGCGGTTGTATGGCCAATCAAATGTTAACTGTAAGTACTGCATTATTTAAATATCCAGCAACACTAAAAACCAAACCTTTCTAATTAATTTTAGATAGTTTTTCCGATTCATTGAAGGATATATTGATAGCTTAGTTGAAAAGAGTATGAATGTCTTAATAGATGAAAAGAATTATCATCCTTCACTTTTCATCAAATGTAATATTAACCCGCTAATAGTTTAAATTTCTGGAAAGCTACTCATAGCTCTATAAGCCTTTATTAGTTGTCAAATGAGACTTTCTGAATGAATTTAGTGGTCTTGATACATACCGCAGTAAATCAACTTCATAATAAACTTGCTTCTATATTTCAAGCATCCGTTACTAAACACATGGATCACAGAGTGTATATCCTCCTTGGTTTAATATTAATCTGATATTTAATCTTAGACAGAAATCTAAATGTTTTAATATAAAGGAACCAAGGACATGTCAGTCCTTGATCAATTCAAAACTCGAGCGGTCAGTTAAAGTGGTTGTTTACAGATAGACCAGGGCGGATCTGTTTTGAGGTGGATGTGAGAGGGGGCAAGCAAATTTTTTTTGGATTACCTTCATTAAAACTTACATAATAAAAGTGTAGATCCCTAGATCTGGGCGAGGTCCGGAACATTTTCAAAATTGCAAAAATGTTACAAACATTTAAAAAATACCTATTGCATCTGAGTTTTTTACTTACATCTTGAAACCTATGTATTTTGGAAAAATATTGAAGAGGAAAATGTTTTGGAATTGAATTTTGCACAATATACTGTAAGTTAAATATGTTTAAATTTATTACCTATCTTGCAAAATAGCATTAATTGATGAAAAAAAGGCAAAACAATCAAGTTTTTTTGAATAATTCTTTTCAAAATATTTTAATTTCTCAGAGGGCATTCTAATTTTGGTAAAAAAAAAAAACTATAGAGTATAATAAAACGACACACCAAATTTCAATAAAATCGCTTCGATAGTTTTCGCAAAATAATATTTTGAAAAAAAATTCAATATGTTGCACAGCCTGAAATAAAGCATCTAGATATTTGAAAATTTTTTCACCTAGAATAGACCGCTCAACCTTTCAAATGATTTTCGAAAAACTGAAATGTGTTGATTAGGACGGCCACAGTAAATTTTTAAAGTAAACCTTTTTTAGTTTTAAACAATTAGACTACCTACATTTTATCAAATTGCAATTTACTTTTTTTTTTCAAAAATTATAAATTTAAATAGGTACTAATTTTTCTTAATTTTATCTGTAGTTAACAAAAAAATTAATTTCCAAATAATTTTTTTTTAATGTTTCCAAATATATTTTTTTTAATTTGAATATTCGAAATTTTTTTTTTTTATTTTATTCAAAAAATTATTTTGTGAAAACTATTGAACCGATTTTAATGAAATTTGGTGTGTTGTGTTATTATACTATAAAGTTTTTTTTATCAAAATAAGAATACCCTCGGAGCAATTAAAATAATTTAAAAAATTATCCAAAAAACTTGATTTTGCCTTTTTTTCATCAATTATTATTGCTATTTTGCAACATCGGTAATAAATTTAAATAGTTTTTACTTACAGTATAAAATTTATTTCTAAAACGTTTTTCCTCTTCAATATTCTTCCAAAATGCATAGGTTCCAAGATATAAGTAAAACACTGAGATAAAATAGGTATTTTTTTAAAATTGTTTAAACATTTTTGCAATTTTGAAAATATTCCGGACGTCGCCCGGATCTAAGGATCTACACTTTTATTATGTGAGTTGTACTGAAGGTATTCCAGCAAAAGTGAACTTACCCCCTCTAATATCCAAGAAGTGGGATATTTCGAAAGATCCAACCTGGTGTAAGATTGGATAGTCAATATATAGCAAACTCGGAAGTCGGAAGCAAATATAAACCAGGGTCTTTCCCGTTCTTAGAATTATGTAAATTCTAAATTCAATAACAAGTAAGTTAGATGTCCCTCTAATATTTACAAATTTCTTTCAGAGTTCTTATAATAAATAACCTAACACAAAATTATATAAATTCAGATATTGCGGAATTGGATAATTTAGCTTCTTCGACCAAGATATCTTGCGTTATTTAAAAAAATTCAAATCTAAGACTACTAGCGGACCTGACGGAATTTCAGCACTTAATCCTTTGGCAGTGTTCTAATCTCATTTTTCACTCTGATATTTTCCGTTGTATATAGAAATTATTTAAAATTAAATATATTAGAGAACACACTTTTTGTTGACTTATATCTGACACGCGCCTTTAGGTAACGTTTGCCATCTGAATCCAGAAATGATCCCAGTTTTTCTCTCTATCACGTAAGCGTTTTACTCCTTTTTTCAAAAAATCATACAAAGTATACTTTTGTCCATATAAAGGTTTGTGTATTGTTACTATAAATCAAATCGTATACAAATAGTGAAGTTCTGCTTCAAAACATACATACTAAGATAAAAATGTACGCTTATAGCTTTACCTGGAGTGTCCAATCTGATGACAGTCTCGCTTGATGCTCCAACAATAGTTAGCAGTCATATGTATATCCCATCTACCTTAATATAATACCTCCATAATCTTGGTAGAATCGTTCGCCTTACTCATTATTGACTGCAACGGGAAGTCATCAAGATGCCTTTGTATTCTGTTCTCGTTTATTTCCAAGAAAGTCATTGATAACCAAGCATTCATTTGAGGTTTATCTTTAATGAGCTGCCGAGTTTGTGGACCGTCAGATACACCGCCTTTGTCTTTTCAAGAGAAAGGTTACGAAATGCAAAAATAAGATACTTGAAACAGTTCCCTTCAGTTGGTAGAGCTTTGACGAATTGCTTCATTAGATTCAGTTTTCAATGCAGAGGTGGGAATATAATATTCGTTCTGTCAACAAGTGGCTCATGAAGAATGTTCGGATCACCAGATTTGAGGTCCAATCTTAAAGGCCAATTTGACTCCACCCAATTCTTCACACGAGCTCTGCTGTCCCACAGAGAAAACAGGAATTTTGCTTGACAGTGCAATGACTTACTTTATGTCTCCATAATCTTCACGAAAATAAACTGAATGGTCAATTGGAATGGCATCTAATGATTGGTTAATCAAAAACAGAATGTACCTCAATTCACTACATATTGACAATCTTGAAAAGGTTCAGTGCCGTTAAGACTATTCGATTTGATGGTGATACCCTCCTTTCCTCAGTCGGTTCTGTTGGATCGCTTTCAATTTATTTCACTTGTTAATGGACGTAATATTAGAAAGAATTACCCGCTACACAACATTTGCAATATTTATAATAAAGGGTTGACTTCTACTGGCCTTTTTTCCTTTAACTTAGCTCATATTAAGAAAATTTTATAAAGTATTATATCTCATTTGTTTGAATTTTTTTGTGTATATCATTCAGTTATATAATTTTTCACGCTATAAGTATCTGCTCAACTTTCCGTTTTCTAAGACCATCATTATTGAACCTGAAGTTCAATTTATTAAAAGATTCTTTAATTTTGCTTTTTTTATACAATATGTTTTAGACCAAACCCATAGGATCCTTTACATTTTTGATAGCTTGGCTAATTGCCGTATTTTCTTATTGCCATGCAGGTCAAAGGATCAAAGACAAGGTTGGTAGACTAATTTCCATGAAAACTTAAAAAAGTTAATNCTGGGGTTCAGGGCTATTCTACGAATTCGTAAATATGCCCATTGATATTTTTTCGTCGAGCTACCCCAGTTTAAAAAAAATAGAAGTTTCTACGATGAATAGAAGCCGAGATATTGCAAAATTTACAACGCGCATCAATTTGAACTTTGGATTTCACTTTTCTCGCGCGCGCGATTCATTTGGACGAGCTTCTTCCACCACCACGCCGCCGGCAGCCTGACAGTTTACTTAGCGAATACCTTCTCTTTAAAGGGCCCCTGAGTCGTTAATTTTCCATATTTTTCAATGCAATTCACGGGAAATCGTAGTTTACGTCGTAAACTTTATTTTGCGAAAAATTCCAGTCTTAATGTTTATAAACAATTGCGCTACGATTAAAAAGAAAATTCTTATCTTGGCTCCTGTTGTTGGTTGTAGATGGTGCTTTTTTTTAATTTGTATTTTTTTGCCAGCTATCTATTGAATCTATTTTCGGTGAGGTAGCAACAATTTTATTCAAATTATTTATAAGTGAAAAACGCACGATTTTTTAATGCACAATTTGAGAATGTTAATGTCAAAAAAAGGTGATATTTTTTAATAGGCCGCATAATTACGTCTTTAAGATTACAATGACGCTTTCAGAATCATGTTTGGTTGAAAATTAACGCCTGTACAGAGGCTTAAAGTTGATAACTTTTGGAGCCTCCGTTATAAACATTGAATTGTGCGAAAACTATTGCACCTACAGCGCCCACTTTTGGCACACCTTTAAAGTATGACAAAACCCTCAACTTGTCATAGGTTTTATAAAATTTTAACAATAAATGCGATAGTTATAAACAAATTAAAAAATGGCCACTTTTCTTGTTTTTTTGCAATAACTTTTTCGTTTATTAACCGAATTTAATTTAACAAGTCTCATTTCGTAGATAATTTTACTACCTACAAGCTGTCTGTGAGGCACTTTTCGCTAAAATTGATGGTTTTCCCTGCAAAGTGAAAAAACTGTTTTCCTCACTTATTTGTTTAAATAGATAAAAGACAATCTTACAATAATCTCGCGGATCGGACTTTTTTCGAGTAAAAATTTTATTTGCTTGGCCTAATTATCCTGACAAATTGCAGATTGAATTTTTTTAACGTTCAAAATTAAATTTTGAAAATAATACGTTTTTCTCACTTGTACGCTCATGACAAGCACTGACCCGTATCAGTTGGAAACTGATAACCTTTTTATAAGCGACAAGAAAGAAAATAGGCACTTGTAACAATAGAGTGGCACATTAAAATTTCCGTGAGAAAAATACACTCGTTGCAAAAAATTTCATTGATTTATGACTCTACTGCCTACTATTTTGGCAGTGCAGCACTGAATTAATTTTCCTACCTTGGTATCTTGAAGATGCTACACAAGGATCATTGTATTGTCCTGCAATCGTGGTCTGGTGCGTGGTGGGAATGTAGTAAACAGGGAACATTCCCGTAGCGAAGCCCCCAGGACCGGTTGGTGTTGTACTCATAGTACAAGCTTGAGTGTTATTCATTGGTGTTACCGTTACAGAGAAAGGCGGCCAAAGATTTACATCGTTTAACTGAAACAACATTCACTCTCGCATTTCGAGTTGATTTAAAGCAAATATTCCTTACCCCTGATTGAAATATATTGTCATTGCGGGGAATACTAGTCGTAACTGGTTGATTGTGTAAATTGGGCAGTTTTGTCGGTGATGACGCACCGTTGGTAGTCGGTGTGACGTCGTCCTTCTGGTTGATTATGCCTCCTAGGTGTTTGTACTTAGACACTTTGTGATTATCGCCATCTCTAGAATAAGAACCGCTCCTTTTCACTCCGTGAGTGTATCCCGCAAGAATTTGCTGAAAAGAATTGATTACTTAGAAATCAGTTTTTTTAAACAATTCCAAATATTAAAAGGATTCGATGCAAAATTCGTAACTAGACCAGCGATTCCCAAAAACATACATCCAAACGCATCCAAAAAGGTTTTAGGAAACACTAATCTAGACAAATAGTTAACGAATGTGACGTTACTCATTTTCCCACAAACTCTCAAATATTTTTTTATAGTCCTGTATATATGTGATATACTGGCGAGTTTATAAAAAGATCTTAGTCCTTCCTTAGCCGTAACTTAACCCTAACCTCAACCCTCGTCTTAACCTTATTATTTTTACCTCGTTTATAAAAAATTGACTTATTCATGCGAGGTAGCAAAGTGTTAGAGCCCGTTCAATATTTATTAAGATAGAATTCCAAAAAAAAATAAGCCAATAAAGTTCTGTTATCGGAATTACTGTAACAATTACTTGAAATTTTCAGTTATTTTCAGAATATTAAAAAATTATACACGTTAAACACGATACTCTTCGACTGGGAATTCAATTATTTTCTTTTATTTTTCACCTCCATTGATTTATTTTAATAAGAAATTGCACTGAAAATGCATAGGACGAAAGAAACATGCCTTCGTAACGGCAAAACATAGTATGTACTGCAAGCTGCTACAGTGAACACCAAGCCGCCAATGTCTTTCTACCTCGAGTGTCGAATGCGGTTAATTCCAAAAAAGTGATGCAGGAGTCTACTTGGAATTCTATCTAAACAAATATAGTGCGGACTGTACATCTGCGAATGCAATATGGCCATACTGTCAAAGGGCAAACCTGCAATTTTTCTGGTACTATGAAAGCACGACTTAAGGCGAATTTACACGATGCAATTTGGATGTACATCGAGAATGATTCATCAAAGATGAAACCATGTAAATTACGTTTCATCAACAACATTTCATCCAAGATAAACAGTTCTGCCTCTTCACTATCGGTTTCACCTTAGATGACTCATCCTGGATGTACACCCAAATTGCATCGTGTAAATTTGCCTTTATAGCCAATTAGGTAAACCAAACAACTGTTCTGCGGACTACATGCCCTGACTGGCATTGAATTATACTAGCAATATCTATAAGGATTATTCGTCACCCAAACTCACTAGAAATTGCCGGTATAATTCAATATTGGTTGGGGTATGTCGCAATATCGTCAAAATCGGTTCACTTAGTTAGCGTTAAGTCGTGCTTTCGTAGTACCTGCGAAATTACAGGTGTCTCTTTGTCATATTGAAAGCGGTCCATAGATGTAGCAATATCTCGCGTATACTCACTCCATGTCTGTATTTAAGAAGTCGAAAATAGCTGAATCATTTGTCTGTTATTCTTACCTATTGCATACTGATGAGAACTAACAAGTTCGAAACCGGTATAAGTCTGGTAGGTTTTGGTGACGAATGATACTGGCTATTATCATTAGTTAATTGATTTATTAATTGTAATTTGGTCTTAACTTAGTTCAACGATGGACTTTTGGGCATGAGTACTTGTGATCTTACTCTTAGTCCTACGAAACTAAAAAACAGAAACTTTCAAGGTCAGACCTAAGCTTCCTCAGGACTAGGACTAGGCTGTAATTTTTATAAACCGGTACACTGAAAGAACGGTCGGTTTTCGCTTAGATTTATCTTTGACCTGCGCTTGTTCTCGGACTTGGCTCTGTGGGGGCGGACTCGCTATTAGAACCCCTATAGGCCCGCCTTGATGTTCATGTAAGTTCTTGCTGGTTCTAAAGTCATTATTGACTAGTCTCAGACAATGTTAATCCTTTGAAACGTTCTGTTGCAGCCTCTGTAACTGGTTAACTATCTGTAACTGGCGGCGACCAGGTACAGAGGTCACGGCATAAAACCATGGTGAAATCCTTTGAAACATAGGGCAAAGACTGATTTAGAACTAAGTTAGGGCTATTTTTTTTATAAACTTACCACAACTTCAACTATGCAATAAGTTCTTTTTAATTACAGACTAACATGTACCCACATTTATAAAATTATGTAAGTTTCATTGAAATGTGTACAGTAACTCACATTTCTATAGAAGACTTGTTCTAACCATCTACAAATGTTACAGTTGAGGTAAACTACTAATTCCAAATGAGACCTATTGGTATTGGAGACTCTATCATATGAAATCTAGGCAGTTTTGCCCACAGATTATTCTTTCGATGCCTAACATCCCTCGACAAGTATATAGAATATAGAATCCAGAACGTACTACTCTCAAAAAATTAAGAGGGATGGAATAAATCCAATTCGGTGTAGCTTCACGCCCTCTCGTGTGTCTTTTTCCAACCTTCACTCGCGTACTACCTTTCACTCCACAGTTAACACAACGACAACATTTAATTTAACAAAACATTTATATTATATAACTAACATTCATTTATTTGTTTGCATAATGGAGTATTTCCCAACTTTCTAACTATAAAATGAAAATAGGCTAAAAAACATATTGCCCTTTAAACTTTTATCTCAATTAAGTCTTAAGGAAATGAAAATAAAAATCAGTTTTTAATCCAGCATCAAATGTAGTAACTTTAGGATATTTTAGTCTATTGCACTGAAGAGCATACAAAGCCAATGTCACCATCGTGTTCATCTTTTTATAATTCTTGTTAACGGATAACACAAGGTACTAAGATACGCAATTCAGTTGGTATCTGGAACTGGACCGTGTCTGTGTGTTTTATTGCGTACCAGTATTTCCTTTTCTTGAGGTGTTTTCCAGCGAGTGCGCGCGAATTGGATTCGAAGGTGTCCTGCGTGTATCGAAAATGGTGGTGGACATTTTGAACATATGTTGTAGTTTGTTTTGTACTTGTGCGTTTAAAAATTACTGAATTTTTCTTTTTGGTAAGTACCTAAATTATTTTTAATACTTACGATAATTTGAATGATGTGAATCTTTGGGTATTTTAATTACATATTTTTCAAATTTATAATTTAATTAAATTCCTCTTTTAAGATTCATAATTACTAAAATTCGAGCTAAAATTTAATGATTTTCATAATTTTTTGCTTAGTGACGTTATTTACGTAAAATCAAACTTCAAATCAAAATAAAAAAATTAAAAGTATCGATTTAATTTGACTAATCCCGAAAAAAAAGCATACATTTTCAAGAAATGAATACCTCCATTTTTTTTACAGTTGCAGGAAACTACCCCATTCATAAAAGAAAAATTACAAACAAAGACAGTTACATTTCTGCTTATATCCAATAAGTTATTAGGAGAGGTTAAATTTCCTGAAATTTACCTCATTTTTGTCAAAGTTTCTTTCCAAAGCATTAAGTTTCTCAAATTTGTGTTGCGTCTTCTTGATTTCTCTCTCTTTGTTATTCGTTCTATGTTCGCGGTGTTTCTTGATCATGATCTTCTCCATATCTTCATTGTGCCTACAAAGAAAAAAATACGCTATAAAATACCTTCCAATCTAGTGGATATCTGCTTCCTTACTTGAAGAGAAGCGACTCGGTCAAGTGGGGTGGTTTATAGGAATCATTGGAGGTGTTGGTAACACTGGTGGTGCCACTTTCAATGTTCGGATTGCTGACGGAGCTCAAATTTCCTGCGCTTCCGCTCCCTGACGTGCCACTGTTTTGTACAGGCGAGAGGCATTTTCTGCAATACATGAGTGAGTTATAAATCAAGGATGTCCGCAGTATAATTACCTATCCTTATACACATTATAGCATAGATCAAAATAAACCAAAAAGTTTTATACAGCATGAATCTTAAATTTAAGAATTCGGTAAAAAGAAACAGTTTCCAGATTCTATGACAAGTCGAAACCAGAGAAAATAGAAGTAGGTAAGTACAGTCATCCCGAAGCAGGTTTGAACGTCGACTTTAGTTTTCCCGAGAAAGTAACAAAGACCAAATTGTTACATTGTATTGTACAATTGTTATAAATTGTTATAAATTGTTAGAGGTTCAGGCTCAGACCTGCATAATCAATCTAATGTCCACATCACCCAGAACTAATTAAGGGTCTGTGATCGATAGAAACGAGCTATTTATCCCAAAACAGACTGCTCATTTGCTAGACCCAAAAACTGCGAAAGGATACGAAAAGTACTAAAACACGAATATGCTAAAATCAAAGCATTGCGAAAAGACCCAATTGAAAGTCTTAGTGCAAAGTGCTGTCGAAAAGATGTCCTACAAGCTACAGACAAAAAAGAGAGCATGTCCTACTCTGGAGAATATCAGGTCCAGATTTTAAGCTCCCTGATTGAGCCAAAGGGAGCAGCAATGGAAAGAGGTAGACTAGCGAGAGACTCCAACTAGCGCCTAGTCAACGATGAGTCTGCTGCTTTATTGGAGAATTACGAAGTAATCCAATGCTTCCAGGCTGAGGCTACATTAGCGAGAGCTACTGAGAGAAGGGCCAATAGAGAGGACAGGATACGACATTACTTCGTTATTTTTAGGTAGAGCTAAAACGCAATATCACCAGATATTTATGTTTATTTTAAGGTAGTCTGCTGTACAATGAACATAGAGCACTTACATTCTGCATTTCAAAATTTATCAGATGCTACAATATTTGCTACAATAAGAAAGATGTTAAAAAATGTTTTATAATTATTTTCTAATATTATTTCACACATGTTCAATCGACCTCATGTTACTTTTTACTTTACAGTTGTCCACATTTCTATAAAAGTAGTAAATACTCACTGGTTGTTCGCGCAGTCCTGGACAGCCTTGGCTTCCTGATCTGTGTCTATGTTGCTCTGAAGCACACCGCTGCTTTCGTCCGAAACCGTTGTTTTGGGTTTACTTTGAAAAAACCTCTGTATGTTTTCGTTATAATTCAACTGATTGTAGCTAGGCGGAGTCTCAGACGATGACTTGCTATCATAGTAATCATGATGTGGTGATATTTCTCCCAACATCACAGAATCTCGTTCCTAAAAGAAAAGATTTATTCCAGAAATATATGAAATAGATTAACGTACATTACATGATGTAAAATAATATAAAAGTATGAGAAGCTGATTGTTAGCTGATATTTGAATGTTAGTAAATATTTAATAACATAAATGAATGTATACTGATACAATATTCTTGGAAATAGCTGGAAAAATGCCTATATTAACTGATATTTGGAAAGCTATCGATAAACTTGGCTTTTTCCAAAAATGCCTCAGTATTCCATTTCATTTACTTAATTTGAAATATGTAGTAAGATGATTACCTCAAAACACCATTTACTTTCAGAAAAACTAGACCCTAACCAAAGCTGAAAATTTAATAAAAATAAGATATAAATTCTCTTGCTCTTGTCAATAAGAAATACATTATTAAACTGCAAAATAATTGAAAAAGAATTGCTCATCCATCACCTGCAACTGCTTGATTAGGTAAGAAGCATGAGGAAATAAAACAAAACAATGACACTTACCCTTCTCTTCAAACTTACCGAGATCGTAGGATCTAATTCATGCGGTAAGTCTAGTTGCAAATTGGACTTATTGACTTCGTCCATGAGAGATTCCATGAAGTTGGCCAAATCTTTGCATCTCTTTGACACTTCATGTTTAGAAGCTTCTGATGATCTCGGAAGTTCCTAAAATTTATCAGTGTCGTTGAATAATACCTAACATGCAGTTTTAGTAGAGATATTAAACAAATCAGTTCAAGGGGTAATAAAGGACCTGAACCAATTTTCATTAAACAACCTACAGTGGTCTAATGTGTCATGTGTTCCACAAAATTAATCAAGAATTATTACGCGAAACTTACGGCAACCCTGTATCGTCCCACTTAATCAACTGTTCGTCCTTCAAAATTGCTACGTGCACTTTACTAACGAGGCTGATTTCAAAATTTTCGTTTCATTGATTTACAATGTTTTATCGTGAAAATTAATGAAAATTGTTTATTTTCACATACTTTATTACCCCTCTGAAAGAACGTATTTATTTCAGAAACATCCTACATAATAGTTATAATTACAATAGGTTAAATTTTCCTCTGATTGACTTGGAATAATAAATCCTTACCTTATTTAGTAACAGCAAGATTTCTTCTTGTATCACTTTGCTCTCTTTTAAGACTTCCTCAGATATGTTGCTTGTTAATTCGTCTGACCAAGATTCGAAAATGTCAGGATTTGATGGTCCCTGCAAAACTCTATGGAGTCCTATGACAAACTCCAATCTCCTCGACCAAGGATTAACAAAACTCGACCATTCCGTCTCTATCATCGCGAATCCACCATTTTGTACTGCAAATCTATAAGGCTTACTTCGAAAAACTGAGCCGGCAATTTGGCACATTTTCATCACTAAAAAGTTACGACAAAATTAAAACTTCTATTAACAAAGTCAAGCAAAAATCATACTCACCAGATTCGTAAATTTCTTTTAAGAAAGGCATGTCTTCAGGATGATAAAAATCGAACACTGATTTCCCTAGCATATCCTGGGGCAGGAATCCAAAATTCGTAACTACGTCTGGATCCACATGGCTGAAGGTACACGCTGCTGTGTGGCGCATACCAAATTTCGGCGATTTTCTTCTTTCATCGGGTTCTAAACGGTAATATAATTTAACACTATTCATTTCTTAATAATTATATCTTACCTTTATATGATGTATGTACAGGAACAGCTGTTACAACCAAAAACATTCCACTGTTGTTTTCCAGGTACTTGCTCTCAGGAGCGTCAGTGATATGTTTGAATGTAACAGTAAGTTGGAATGCTTGGTAAGAAACGGCCTTCTCTACCACACCAAATCCTGATGATCTTAATCCCCTGTATTTCCTCAGACAGACGTAAAGACAATTCTTGTAATCTACAAAATGAACTTACAGTTACAATACAGGAGAAAACATATAACGATTCTGGATCCCAATTTTTTTGACAACTCATAAATATATCTCAATACATCAGCTATATCTTGATCAAGAGCTACATTCAATTTATATTGTTCGAATTTGTCATTGAAAATATAACCGTTTGAGTGAGTTTAGTTTTACATAGTGCATGATGTGATTACTATAGTACAATCATTAAAGCTGAAAATCAGCTGTAACCTCCGAATTCTTTGAAACTGCGTGGATTTGCATGAAAATTTAGAATAAGGCTCAAAAGTGGCATAAGCCCGATTGACGCTTTTTGTTTTTTTAGGGGTAAAAACTACCCATAAGAGAAAAAAATTGAAAAAATTAAGTTTTAAGCATTTTATCGATAAAAATCTTGTTCAAGCACAAAGATTAAATAATGTTCCATGTTCTCGAAAATGTTTTATGATATATTTGATCTTTTCGACCCTTAAAAACTACCCCTGTGCAAAAATAATGATAAAAATTACTTTTTAAAGATTTGCAATTATTTAAAATAAAAGTTACCTTATAGCTAATAAAATAATTTTTCCCTTTCAACCCCTAAAAACCACCTCTGTATTGACAAAAATGATAAAAAATTACTTTTTAAAAGCTTCGAATGCTTTAACGGTGCAATTATTTAAAATAAAAATTCCCTCATTGCTTATGAAAGAATTTGTATCTCATAACACTTTTCAACCCTTATAAATCACCCCTGTGCTAAAAAAATTATAAAAAATTACGTTTTAAATCTTGGAATGCTATAATTGTGCAATAATTTAAAATAAAAATTCCCTTATATTGTTTATAAAAGAATATTTTACTTTTGCCACTTTCAACTCTTATAAACTATCCTTTTACCAATATTAATTACATAAACTTTTATACACGCTGACGCGCACTTGAATCCTAACATTTTGCTCCAAAAATGAAAGCCTATTTTGCTCCGAAAAAATGTCATTGGTTTTTTTACCATAACTCGGTTAATTTTGAAGCTATAGTATCCTACAAAAAAGCATTTTAAAGATAATTTTAAGAACTGTAAGATCGTATGCATATAAAACTTTTAAGTCCTTCGTTTTTTAAAGGGAAAGGATCGAAGGGCTCGAGACAGGTCGTTTTTTTTTTTCACTAAAATATACTTCAAGCAGAGATATCTCCTTTATTTTGTATGCTATAGGAATAAAAAATGCAAAATATTTGTTGAAAAAAAGCTACTTTTTTGTTGTCTATAATTTTTTCGTATCTTTCATAGTTTCAGAGTTATTATATAAAAAAGGCAATTTTTTTGAATAATGAAAAATACGTTTTCAATTTTTACCGTACATTATTAAAAAAATACGCATTCTAAACCGGTCTAACTTCAGGATCGTATGAAAAACACCAAAACGAAACTAATTGTAAAGGCTCTACGATTAATTTTAATTCTGATGGAAATGGTACAGCGTTTACTGCTCATTTTTCCTTAAAAATATGAGCAACCCATCTGTTTTTGATAATAACTCCTTCAATTTTGCTCTAATTAACTTTTATAAGTACCTACTCATTTTGAAGGTCTTTTTGAGTACTACAAAAAACTCCTGGAGCGTTATATACGTAAAATTAATCCTTTTTCCGTTATTTGACGTTGAATAGGTACATCAATTCGAGTATTCCCCCCAAAACAAGTCCCCTTCCACTAACCATATTTTGCTTTGTACAGGACGTACAACACTTTTTAAAAAACGATTTTGGTTGTTTAGGTATAAGCTACAATTTTGTTATTACCCTTTTTTTAATAAAATACGTAGTTTTTGAGTTATTCGCAAAAAATACTTTGAAAAAGTGTTTTTTTCACTCAAAATTCCGAGTTTTCAATCGTAAATAACTAAAAAACTATAAATATCGCGAAAAAATTCTTCGAATATTTTTTACTCAAAATTTGATTCTCTATCCATTTCCAGCGTTATTTTTGAAAAATAAATGTCCATCCCCGAGATGGGGTGTCGTCAACCACCAACAGGGCGGAAGCGTCAATCGGGGGTATGTCACTAATGTTCATTGACCTTTTCTCTAACTATCTACCAAATTTCAAGTCGATCGGTTCAGTTTCAAAGAATTCGGAGGTGAAAAGCTTCAATGACTGTACTACTAAGGGAATTGGAAAGATTGATAAACATTTAATTTACTTACCATTGCATTTACCTTGAGAATCAACTAAGGGTTGAGCAATGCCGGTAGTTACTTGACTAGAAAAAGTTTCCCTGTCTTTAGGGTGAACGAAATCAATAAATGATCTTCCCAACCACATATCCTTAGGAAATCCCAGCACGGTAGTCAAACTTGGCGTCGTATACAACACTACGCCATCGTACATGGATATGACGCAACAGAAACTGTCCTAAAATAGAAAGAATATATGTAACGCCACTTGGGACAACTTTTTTTATAAACTTTTCAAAGTTAAAGTTAATTCACGTTGCCTGAAATACATGAATCGATTGCTGACAAATGAATGTCGAACTAAGTTAACTTGAAAAGTTAGGTATTTTGCGTGATCACATTTGATGAATGAATTTGATGAAGTTTGACATGTACCTCTGAGTGGCACGATGTTGCCTTGTTAGCCTCGGTGACCGAGTCATTGCAATCTTCAGGAAGAGCTTCTGCGACGGGTTCCGGCTGAATCTCTTCGTTCCAGGACGAGATATCTTCTTCGGGAGGTGGAGTCTCCGCTAGCATGAAAAAAAGGACATCCCACAGACAATGTGTTATATCTATCTCCTTACACCAAAACTTAGTACAATCAATAAATATTTAGAAACACTGGATTAGTATTAGGTGGAGAAGCTTTTTTAATTATTAACTATTTCCATGAATATGGTTGATACTTTCGAAACGAGGTTAGTAAGGTACTTTTATACCAATGGAAGGAAATTATAATGTTGGGCGGTAATCTGTTAGGCATGAATAAAGTAAAACTAATATCAGGTTTTAATTTTTGTTGACTATGCTAAGTTAATAAGCGAAAGTAGGGGTGCGTTAAAGTTGAAGCTGGAAAATACAGGGTGATTTTAAAGTTGAGACATTAGTGCGAGGTTTTTCAAAGTTTAATCCGACTTCTTTCAACCTGGAAAGGGAAATATTCGGTATACAATTGCGCTGCCGTCGCAGAACTTTGAACATATTCCGCGTAAATTAATGTTATGTCCAATAGTTTAATATTACCATGAGCATGAGCTACTGTATTTTAGTTTTGTTTAGTTTCTTTATGGGTGACAAAATATACACAACTCATGTAAAGTAGAACAATATACTTACAATGTAAGAGATAGAACATTGAAAAATTCATAAATATAAATATAAAACATTATAAAGCTTATCATATTTTCTGTTAGCTGTTTAAATCATATTTGGATGGTAGATACCAAAATGTTGCGTGTTGTGGCTCTGTGTTAATATCGGTATTAGTGTACCGCAGGGTTCCACTTTAGAACAATTATTATTCGTAGTTTATATTAATGGCATAGTTCAATGTCTTCTATATGCTGATGATGTAAAAATATATAGCAGTTCCATTAATAATATCTCTCTAAATGTCATCAAGTGTGCAGTAATGTTATTTATCAGAAAACAGAAACCTATTTTGTACACCATAATGTGAATAGCAATTTCCTTGATCTTCCTCATACAATAAAAAACCTAGGCGCATATTTCGAGGTTTTCGAGCCTAGGTCTTTTTCTAGAACGACCCAGAGCTTTCAATGCCCATGTTAGATCTAAACTTGAATATGCTATCGTAATGGATTTTTATCTGCTGTCATTTCCATGATAATTTATATTCTATAAAACAATGTCAGCGAGTCAGGATGTGAAATGTGGCTTCTCTTGTAACAATTTGGACACAAACAACCCATAGAAATAACCACAATATTGCGTCTGATTTAGAATGTGATTTATTTTTTTTTTTACTCAATAAAATCGAATAGGATCCGACTCTTTCATTTTTTTTTCAATTGTACAAGTTGTTCCTCATCTTTGAAATCACCCTGTATAAACTGAGTCTTTCACCATCGGTACCTTAACAAAAGTTTACTTATTTAAAACAATTGAAGTTGACGTCCAGCTGTTAACGAGAACGCGACCCAGAGATCAGAATTTTTATTACCTGTGACTGGCAGCTTTGGAGAAACGGCCGTTAATACTGTTTCAGGGGTATTATTATCTGTCAAATCCGCGGCTGGAGCAGCCACCTCGATGACGCTCGCTGGCAAAACCTCCACACCTGAAATGAGACATTTGTATGACGTTTACAAATGAGCAAATCAAAAAATAATCACGAATAGATGAATTTGTAACAGTGCTTACCCATGCTTTGTTCAGGTGCGGACTCTTTCGCATTGGCGACAGATGAACTTTTTGGTTCTGCAGGTGCTAACACTGCTGAAGCGGTTATGGTAGGTAAGCTGGAATAGGGACTGGCGAGTTTTAATTTTTTCTTCTTGTGCTCTTTGTCCTTGTTGCGTTTTGGAGGTTGAGGTCCAACGTAGATGCTACAAAACAAGTACCTTTTCTGTTAGCTCATGTTATTGCCTATATTTTATTAAATGATTTACAAAAGCTTCACTTAAAATAATCTTTTGGAGAAAAAGAATAAGAGCATAAAGAAACTCGATTTTGCAATATGTTATTAATGATGCAGAAATAAAACATAATGAAAAATAAGAATATAGAGCATAGGTATCAGCAGTATCTGTAAACGATTTGGATTGACAAAGAGACGAAAAAGCATAAACTATTTACAGTTATTTATTATCAGAGTAACTGAAAGATAATACTCATTATTTGTTTCGCATAAATTTACATTTGTTTGAAAACAAATACATTACCTGCCATCTGGGTTTGTTGTTCCACAATATCCACTGCTCCTACTTGAATTGCTTCCGCTATGACGAGATTTTGAACTGGCACTAAAAATAAAATCATATACATTTTTGCTTTTCCAGAAACTTGGTCAAAAATTATGAGAAATGGACTAAGAAGAAAGATATTTGATTTGTCTTGTTAATGAAATTGAAACAATCTAGCCCATGTTTCTGCTTTTCATATGAGCACATTTTTTCAAAAAGCTTACTTCTCTTCCCTACCTCTCTCAAATCAAAACCTGTCAATGCTCTAAAGTTATTTATACCTTCTTAAATAAATACATATGTAATCTTTTACAAAAATACTAAATGCCAATTTACATCGACATTGTGATACTAAAGTAAACAAAATATAAACGTAAAAGATCTATTAAATACGGTTCTGTACCTTCTTTGTGAATTAGTGTTACTGCAACTATATCCGGAATCAGATATTTTCGTATTAGTTGTGCCAGATTCCGATTCCATGACAGAAACTGACGACGATATTTAGTCAAAGAGATCTGGAAACAAAAATATACGATAAAGAAAATGTAATTTACGACGTTGTCATTATACTTGATACAATAATTTATTAAATTATGCATTTATTGATCACCAATTGCAAGTTTATTGTATTTTTTTATTAATTTAGCTTAACAAAAAGTAAGGCAACATAATTTACACCTTTCAAACATACAAGGTGAACATACAATCATTTGTTACTAATAATATAAATGGTGTTCAGATTTGACCTGGGCCTGCTGTCATATTTTAGTGCGTCGTAGATTACGACAATTATACAGGGTGATTCACAAACAGTGACAAAAACGAAACCTTGTATTTTTTGGTGAATTTTCTTTGGTCTTTCGTATAAAATTTTTCGTTAAAAAAATATGGGGTGTTAAACTTCAAAAAATGTTTTTAATTTTTTTAAATGATTTAAAAACTAGTAAGTGAAATAATTTGAAATGAGGCACATGTATTTATGTAAACATTGTCCAAAATCTGAGGCCTTTTCCTAAAATTTAGATGCTCCAGTGACGGGGCATATTTTTCTAAATAAAATAGTACGCCACTGCTTTACGGTAACAATCATGTTATTTTAGGATACGTCTTTCAATTTTGTACAAATTACTACCGTTTTATTTTTTTTTTTTTTTCGAAAAAGCCAGATTTTCGAGTAAAACTTAAAAAACGAACTGAAAACATACTTCGATATTCAAATAAAATGCGGTTTAAAATTACATAGTAAACTGTGATATACTTTTTTCTAGCTTTTACCCCTTTTGAGTTACCTTGAAAAACCCCTTTATTTTATCTTTTTTCACCCCTGACCTGGGGTTGAAAAAAAATTACTGTCACTTATTGTTATTATATGTACCTATACCTCAAACTAACTTATATCAAAAATTCAGGCAAGTTGACCAAAGTTGCGACTTAAAGGCCTATTTAATTTTACTATGTATAAGACAATGGTATTGGATAAATCTGAACACCCTGCATTTAAAAATAATTCCTGTGGAAATGGGTATACAAATTATTATATGTATATACTGCGCAAAAAAAAATAGCCTTACGTAAACATTAATGCTATTATTACTGATTGCATTGTTTGATGATTTGTATTTCGAATGTTTACCATCAAGCTTTGTCACGTGGACTGATAATCGAATGCATGCAGCGATGATTTTGTGAAACAATTCTACGAAATATTGCCAATTATTTGTGACTGAACTGATGGCTAAAAACCTTGTTTCAAGCAAAACCATTAACGACGAGGAAACAAACTAGGCATATCCCAAAGAAAATTGTCAAGTAGGTATTGTCGTGTTTCTTTTCTCGTTCTGTATATTGGTTCAAATGTTGAAGTCGTTCGACTGCGTCAGTAAAAGTTGTCTTATTTAGTCATTTCTATTTTAATTATTCTATCCTCCAGCCATTTGCATACTAACGCGTACTATTCTTTCTTCTTATTTCTATAATATGTAAATGCATGAACTCGTTAGAAATCACGACCGCATATTGATTTTAATTGAATTTACAGCCAATAAATTACATTTCATATCTTTTTAAATTACTCAATATAATTAGTATAGAGAAACAAGAATACAGCTCTTTAATTAGTAAAAGTAGTTTTAATTCATTTGCGGGCAAATCATAAGGATCGACAATCTTCATAAATATCATATACAGGATGTAATTTAAGTGTTTAAATATATTTTAAGAGGTGATTCCTTGAATTCATGAACATTTCTCTAATGGAGCATGGACTAACAATTTAACTAACATTAGGCAAGAGAAAATAACACAGGCCAACAAAATTTGACCGATCTAGAAACCAGAATATACTTTTCCGAAGGATTTTGGTGCGCTCAATTCGAATTCGAGGTCCAAATTTCTCAATTGCTCTAGTTTTCGAGATATTCTCATAGATAGATATTTTTTTTTTGCTAAAACCGTTATCGAGATATTATAGTACTATACTTACTCTTTAACAAGCACTTATTTATCCCGATATCATTTTTTGTCTTTGAGAAATCGTATGTTGAAATTTAGTAGTTTCACTTATTTCTAAATTTTTGAATATACTCACAACACAGCACCACAAACTTAAATTTTATGTGTTGGATTTATATGTTTATGGTTTATGACTTCGAGATTGAGCGTACTAACCTCTTTTTCGTGTAAATATATTTCCATATTGAATAAAATGCATAAAATTAATGCCCTATATCAAATTTTTAGATATGTTTTAAGCTGATTGCAAAATTTGACGTGATAGAGTGTTTTGGAGTCCATATTCGTGATCAGTGACCTCAAAAACATGTGAGATACCTACTTCCGGGTGCCATGCCGGTGAATTTAGGTTTGTGGTGCTGTGTTGTGAGTATATACAAAAATCGAGAAATAATAATAGATGCTACTTGGTGGCGATCACATTTTAGTAATCTCACTATCCGCGTCACTGTACAATAACATGTACATATCTGCCTCTGATCTGAAGCTTCGCATCGATCAATTTATTCGATATGCATTTAACGGCACCCTAATATAGTGACTTCTGTAAATTAATTATTTATTCTATTATATTATTTATTTTAGTTAATGTTGTATTTACATTAAAATTGCTAATTAGCGAATTATACATATTCATCCAATTGTTATTACCTTTAATAAGAACTAAAATTATTTAAGAGGAGATATTGAGGAGGTACATATTTTTTTTCAAAAACATTTGTAAGAAACTTCTAAATAAGTTATAATTTTCTTAATAACAAGAATATGATAATATTTTTACCCATGTTTCCAATTGCAGACATTAGTTCAGAGAGTTATGTGGGAGAGGAAACGGCGTATTATTAATAAGTTAATATTTTGCAAAAGTTATTTGCATTGCGCAGATAATAATAACATTAAACTTTTCATGATAAAAATGCAAAACGCACATTGCAAAAACAAAAGAATAACCAATAAGGAGAACATTTTATCTGGGAAATTATTTCCGATTCTTTAGTTTTTTTATTCTAAATATATTTTCGTTGCAATTATCTCCGAGTTACATTTGGGTTGGCGCACTTGCTTCGAAACCATTACTTTAAGTAAATTAAGCGTTACGCAAGGAAATTGAAGGCTATGCCGATTTAACGTGGTCTGCAACGTGATAGTTTTACTCGGTGACCACGAAAACGCTAGCAACTGCCTTTTCAATGACGCAGAACGGAAATAAATTTACACGGGGTCGGAATGGAAGAGGAAAAAATGGAAATAAAAGGTCGAAGAATCGTAAAAAGACTTTGTCGGAGTTGAAATTGTACAAGATGAAATAAGCCTCCAATATTTTCTTAGCTCGTCTAAAAATAAGAGTAATGTTTTGAAATAAAATTGATTTAAACATTTTTACATGCAGAAAATACGTGAAAATAATCACTTTATTTGTTAAAAACTTATTGTTAAAGGTAATATATTCTGTCAAAAATAATTATTAATAACAGTTGCAACATCTATTATGTTAACAATTTATAAATAATTAGTTCATAGCGGAACAACTTCACAAAACAGTTTTATTCACAATTGGAGAACGAAAAACATAATTTATTTTTATTTTGTCCAATTCTCTTGTACTCTTATTTTAGTGGTTTTCCATAACTTTATTTCATCAATCTTCAGGACTTCCCCAAGGGCCCATTCTGGGGCCACTCTTGTTTGTTGTTTTTATTAATGATCTAACTAAAAATATTGATGATGTCAGTTACCTTATCCGCATGACCTTCATTTGTTTTTAGGAGTTAAATCTTCTATTTACAATACATATACAATATATATTACAATAGATTACATTATAATCTTAACAAATTGAATAGTTGGTGTCCAAAAAAAATTTACCTCTGAAGCAAACGTAAAGTTATGTTGTATATATGTTATTCGTAAGTCTTGTTTAAATAATATATACGTTCGAGGCCTGAAAGAACTATTGTTTGAATGTTATTGAAGAACTAAGAGCAGAAGTTGGTATTACTTAGTCTAATAATAACTCAAATTCATTATCAGTTGAAACTATTTTTGAAAATGATATAAGTATCCTAAACGTCTGTAGATAGAATAATTAAAATTTACCCAAAATTAAAACCCGCATTTAACTTTTATCTTTTATGAAACGAATTGACAACTATAAATCATAGGTTTTCTTTGTATATTTTACGATTCAATTAGGACCAGAATTTAAAATTGTATTTTTTATACAAAAAAGTTTTTTACGTTTTTTTTTTAAATAATGTACTACTGCCTACCGTTCATTTCTGTCGGCTTATTCTTTTAATGAATATTAATCCGCCTAGTTGAAACATAATATTATATTGACATTTAGCCTGGCCATAATCAAGATGGCACGTTGTACAATTATTTTCAACATATCCCGTTTTTTGCGTAATATCTGCTAAATGTGATCCATTTATTTGTCACGTTAATACTAAATCACCAAATCATGGGGCACGTTGCAAATATAAAGACGGATATTTATAGGATGTTAATTTTGCGAACAATCGAGCAAAGGGGATTCGCAATAATGAAACGCCCTTTGTGTTGCAGTATTGTATATTCGATGAAATTAACCTTTTATGCAGCCTATTTTCACGTGGTTGTAACTGAATAGCCTTTGTTTAAAGTCAAGCGAGCCGTGAGTTAAGTTGTCAGGAATAGAACCAATTTTAGTGGTAAAAAATAAAAAGGGCCTATTACGGGAAATTTAATATACAGGGTGATTCACTGTTTATGATTAGGACTTTAACCATCGATAGATCTCATCAAAATAATGTCATTTGGAAGTATACGCTTCATCTTTCAAAGGCTTTTTTTAGAGATATAAGCTTTTGAAAAAACATTTTTTTTGGTTTTTATTTATTTTTTCTTAAACTATGAAGGGCATTTGTTTTATATTTAGTATGAAGTGTACGAATAAAAAGCTCTATCAATTCTACAAATTATTGTGAAAATAGATCAATCATAGGCGTCCGTAAGGGACTTTGATTACCCCTATTTTTAATATAATTTCTATGCCACCGGAAATGTTTCAAAATTAATATATTTTTTTTATATTTCGGTTTATTTATTCTACAGCGAAAATATATCTCACTATTTTTAAATTAAATGCTTTTTGAGAAAAATAGCTTCGTATGGATTCATTATATGTAAAATGGTTAAGTTTTTCAAATAAAGTAGTACAGAATAAACTATTTAATATTGAGAAACAAACAGAAATAACAAGTGACAATAGAGAACAAAAGAAATGGTGTCACAACAAATGTTCGAAATGTTATCCTCGAACCTTAATGCATTTCTCACATCGCCTAATTAAGCTTAATCATATTGGGTTTTAGTTAAGAGTTTCACAATTATTTTTAATTCCTCATCTTAACATTTCATGAGTACAGACTGGTAAACTATACACCCTTTCTTTAATAAATTCCCAAACGAAATAATCCATGGGAATTAGATCTGGCGATCGTGACGGCCAAGCAACGGGACCGGTACCAGGTTCTGCATTTCCAAAATATTCCCGATCCAACGACGTGGATAGTGCTGCCCGAGCCACTGCCTAATTTGAATACCATAATGAGCCGGAGCGCCATCCACCTGAACTTACATATTTCTCCCAAAAAGTAACGGTAACTTGTCGAATAAAGTATTTAAATCTTCTTCTTTCTTTGAAAAACTTAACCATTTCACATGTAATGAAGCCATTTTTCTCAAAAACCAAACATTTCATTCAAAAATAGTAAGAGAGCCCCTTACGGACGCCTATGATTGATCTATTTTCAAAATAATTTGTAAAATCGATAGAGCTTTTGGAAGAAACAGTGTATACTTCAAAATGATTTTATTTTGACGAGATCTATAGATGGTTAAAGTCCTAATCATAAAAAGTGAATCACCTTGTAGAGTACAACATAGCGGACCCTGTATGCGTTATAAAATTTTGATATTTACACATAAGGATACCTACAATTTAATTAAAGTTTTTTTTTTAACACAGAGTAAGCGATGGAATTGAGAAAGAAACAAAAATTACTTATGGTAAGGAGAATTTCTCGTGTAGAAAAAAATATTTTTTTAAATCTACCAACGCCGTTCAAAATACAAGAATGGTAATGGTCAAAGTGGAACACACTGATATGTCACTAATTATTGAGCACCAGTTGCCGAATTTAATTAATGAACATGAAGGCAAACAAATCTCTCTTCGTCATGTCGACCGTTCACACCTATCGATGTGTAGTATTGAGTTCAAAGGCCAGTGAATGACCCCCTTAGAAAAAAGATAAAGCAGTTCTCTATGGTTAAATCGAGTGTTGTCACACTGACCTTGCACCAGCAACAAACATGGATTTAAAATTTGAATCAACAACGTCATAATTTATTGGTAATGTAAGTAAAAGTATGTAATTGGACATGCTTTAATATCTATGTCCTCTTCGATGTCGAAACTGAAAATATAAGTATAATCTGATATGTTACTATAGATATTTCTTTATTCAGATTTTGTTATACTACTGTGTTCAAAAAATGTTGAATTACTTATTTCAAATTCGCGGGTATTATGAAAGCATACAATTATTTTTTGTATGTTGGTAGTACTGTCCTGTGTCTATGCAGAGTTTCAAGTCAATATATTTAATTGATGCAGAGCTACTCGTGTTTTGTAAACATACGAATCGAAAGTGAATTTATAGATTTTTACCGTGTGATTTGTTGAGCATTTCATTAAATTTTGTTTGCGGAAACTTTGAGGATGTTACAGAAGGCCTTTAGTGATGGGGTTATGTTGCAAAAAAATGTTTACAACTGGTACAAAGACTTTAAAGAAGGTAGAGAGAGAGTTAAGGACGAACATCGTTCCGGACGACCATCAACGTCAACTGATGAAAAACACATTACTCAAATCAGAGATCTTGTGCTCGAAAACCGTCGATTAACAATAACAGACCTTCTTGATACTGTTGGCATTTCAAAATATTCGGTAAATACTATTTTAAAAGATTTGTTGTACCTTAGACGCGTCAAATCTTGTTTGGTTCCAAAATCGCTCAACTTTTTGGAAAAACAGCGTCGCGTTGACATCTGCGAAACAATAATTTCTGACTACCAAGACATCATGAAACCCATCATTACTGGAGACAATATTTGGATCTACGCTTACGACCCGGAAACAGCCGATCAATCAAGTGAATATCGTGCAAAAGGTGAACCAAGACCGAAAAACCACGCCAAATTCACTCAATAATCAAGGTCATGTTGATAGTTTTCTTTGATTCGTGGCGTAATGCACTATGAATTTCTTCCAACCGGCCAAACTGTTAACAAGGAATATTATTTGAGTGTTATGCTATTCGCCGCAAAAGGCCGGAATCATGATAATGCATAGGCTCACACATCATTGATAATTCGAGACCATTTCACCAAATATTCAACGTATCGTTCCGCAACCACCGGTTTCTCCTGATTTATCACCCAGTGACTTCTGGCTATTCCCTAAACTCAAAAGACCACTCCGTGGACACCGTTTCGACTCGATCGAGAAAATAAAAGCCGAATCGACGAAAGCATTGAAGGCCATACCGAAAAAGGACTTTTCAAACTATTTCGAGTTGAAAAAAACGTTAGCATAAGTGCATTGTATCGGGTGGGGATTACTATGAAGGCGACGAAATTGATTTGGAAGCCTAAATAAAGATTTGTTTATTTTTTAAACAAATTCACCTTATTTTTTGGACAAAGGGTTATAACTAATTCTGAGAATGATATACACTAATATGTATTAATGTTCCGTAGCTAGTTTGTCATTGCTTTGTGGAAGAAATTCCATTATGTTAATATAAAATAAGAAAAGAAAGTGAGAAAACATTTTAAGGGATATAAGGAACTAAACATACAAGAGGAACAGTACTTATAGTCGAAAGCAGATTCGTTGGCCGTTAAAAGGAATCACTGAGGATTGAAAACCTAATTTGTTGTTCAATCTCTGTTACACAAACCAAAGAGCCATACGAATTTCAAAGTGACAGCAATGGAGGGGTGGGGGGCGATACATCTTCGTATCTCTGAGCAGCTTATCTGATGAGTTTCCTTCAGTTTTCACTTTTATTCATGTAACCCAACTGGATGTATTTATAAACATAACATTACATAAAGCTCATTGTCCCCCACCAAGATTCCATATAATAGGTTACGGGGTAGATCCTTTAGAATTGTTATAGCGACGAGTTGCATAACTCTTCTAATTATAGACTGGCATCAAGTAAAGGGAATTCGTTTTTCCATGAATAATCGTTTCGGAGGCGGTAACATTTATATCCACCACACAAGCGTGGGTTTTTCCTAAGGAAATTCAGAAATAGTACTATATTAGTCTATATTTAGCAGCTTGAAGCCTGATTTGTATAAGTCAACTCCTCTGTTTATTCCTAAGTATAAACCATTAGATAAGTGTAGCTTATAGAGTCGATCTCAACTTTATTTATAATACTTGTTAAGAAGCTCTGAGGAGAAAGGTGTATGTAAACTACCAAAACTGAAAAGAATGTTCCGACCCACTTGTTAACAAGAGTTGATATTCTTTGACTTGCTTTTTTTCGAATAATATCCAGTACAAGCGCTATTCTTATTCTTGTTATAATACACAGGATGGTCCCGTACAAATTTCAAGCTACTTTTTACTTTTAAATTATCTGGGTTACTCAGATAATGGATATAACTAGTTTCAAGAAATTTTTTTGTTTTAAGGTATTTTTTAAATATTTCCCATTGTCAATTTCTAACAATGTGACAGTTAAAAAGATGTTTCTGCAGGAGGTGATAAAATGATTTGGATTTGATTGATCTATTTAAGATAACTTTTTCTGTTTCATCTTGTCTATGTGTTTTCGAATATTCTGTAACACTAACTTACGTTTTAACTTTCAACTTTCCCACAATTAAAAAATAGTCAGTCCCATTAACCAAAAAAACAGGAATACGATGTTGTTAGAACCTTTGTTATCCAATTTTTTTAAATATTACATGAATTTCTTAGATTGTCGATTGTATTATCCTGTATACAGGGTGTCCCAGAATAACGTGTACAACAGATTCGTGGACTCAAAATTCACCTATATCCGAAATCGCTTATTATATTTAACAAAGTGCCAGTTTCTGATTTTGTAGGTTGATTGTAATTTCAATTTGATCTTCAAATCATTGTGCCTTCGAATTCTGTTTTACTACAAGTGGAATAATAAATATTCACAATGAACATAATCAAAATCGAGTTATTTACAAAATTCAAAAAAATTTCACAAACTTTGAAGCCATCTAGCGGCTAAACGTAGTGATTTCGGATATGGGCGAATTAGCATAAATCTGCCTATTTTGAGCACGAATCTGAGGTCTTCCGTTGTACACGTTATTCTGGGACATCCTGTATATCTAAACTGAAATTATGCACTTTAAACTCGCATGCGTTCGTTACAGACAAAACTATTATATATTTTATCGCTGTTTTTACAAGGCTAATAATAATATTTCTGCATAAATTGCAAGGAAACGTTAAGAACAGGACCTTCCTTCGTCAATGTTCATCAAGTGCTGCTGTTTAAAGGTCATAAAAGAATGATAATATAATGAACTGAATGAAAATGTTATACAAGAGATGTAATCGCTTTTGGTATGTTCTTTCAGTTACAAATATGTAGATACGTCGACCTACACAAAATGAAAGTCTTTCTGCTAACTTGAAACGAAAATATAAAAATTTTACTAATACTGCTTCTTAGAATTAAAAATAGCAAAGTATTAAAATACGTATTTTGTTAAAAAAATGTATTAAAGCAGAAGTAGACATTCTCCAAATTGGAAGGGAAGTAAGTACCTATTTCATCTGCGTTTTATATAACTACAGAAAAAAATCATTTTTGGTGAGTTTTTTATTTAAATAGGTATTATTACGCAAATGTGGAAAATATTACTAAAAGTCCCTTGTCACAATCTGTTTAAAAAAAGCCATGTTAAAGATGATAATTGAATAACTTTAGCTGTCACTCTCAGGCGCAACTGTAAAAGTAAAGAGTTAGGTAAACTGACAGACAGCATGGTTGCATAATGTTTAATACTTTGGAGCTAAATTTAATGATGAATAAATGAAATTACTAAATTTTCTTGTGAAATTTTAGTCATTTCTAGGTAGGTAAGTATTGCAAACATATCATTTCTATAAATCTGTTACTAAAAACTTAATTATAATCATCTCTTTAACCAGGACAAAAGGTAATAAAAGAGTGAATATTAAATTGCTCCTTCCTTATTTTCAGCAGGCACGGAACTAGTCCTAAGTCTTGAAGATTTTTATTGAAAAATCTCCTGGTAGTTACCTAATATAAATAAAATATAAATAAATAAATCAAACAATGGAAAAATCAGCGTAGAAAAAACTAGAGTAAAATTTTTCTCTATACAAAAATTGTTTTGAATTTTTGTTTATCTCTCAATACAAAAACTTGAAACTCTATCAGTTCAACTTTTTTATCTGTTACTTTAAACGAGGCAATATTGTCTCGTCTTGTAAATATCTCGTAAAATCATCACAAATTCGACTGACTTCCAATTCGTGAAAGTGGTTTATACAATTGCTGAAAAACTGGAAATAATTAGTTTGTTCTACAAGAATAATGACAAGAATGCTTTTTAGTGATCGTCGTCCTGATAAAAGAACTTCGCATCGATACGTCCTGGATTTAGTGCATAAATTTTCGGAAACTGAAAAGCATCAACGTGAACAGGTCGTACGTAATGAGGGTAGTTGTCTTGGGTCACATCGCAATGGAACCAAATTTGGGTCTCAGGAAACTCGCAAGTGCTTCAGGAATTTCTGTCACTAGTTGCCGGCGAATCTTAAAAATTCATAAGTAGCACCCATACAAAATTGATTTAGTACAAGAAATTAATGAAGACAATCCTGATCGCCGCTTGCAGTACTGTGAAGAAATGAGTGATCGTGCTCGAAGGAATCCAATTTTTTTGTACTCAAACTGTATATCCGATGAATGTAAGTTCCAACTGGATGGTCGCCATAATTGCCGCTACTGGATTGATGAAAATCCACAGATTTTTCATGAAACTCATACGCAGTATCTGAGGAAATTGTATGTTTGAGCGGGCATACTAGGAGACCTCCTACCGGGAAATCTGGATGGAAACATGTATCTGAATCTACTGGAAACGAATATCTTCCCGATGATTGTGGAAGTATTGGAATATGACAACGCTTTGCCAGAAGAGGATGGTGGCTTCACCAGGATGTGCCCCACCACATTATGCCGCAGCTGTGCGTGATTTTCTTAACCAGAACTTTCCAGATCACTGGATAGGATGCAGTGGTTCAATTGAGTGACCTCCCAGATCGCCAGAACTAACACCCTTAGACTTTTTTCTATGGGGACACTTAAAGTAGAAAATTTATGCAACACGACCGAACTCACTTGACGAGCTTCGTCGGCGATTTGTTGAAGAATGTCGTCAGATAACGCCCTAAATGCTTCGAAATGTTTATTCGGAAGTGGAGCAATGATTTTATTATTGCATGGAAGCGGAGGGAAACCAATTTCAACATTCAGTAAAACAACATTATTTCATTCATTGATATTTTGTTTATTCTTTAAGTGATGATTTTATTGTCATATCCAAAACAAATTTAAAAAGTCGTATGTCGTCGTGAGCAGAATTGAAAAAGCTTTTTTTTAATACCTTTATTTTCCAAGCGGGAAGTTTTAATTGCAACACCTTGTAGATAGCCTAGTGGAGTCCTGGTCAACCCATTTTTATTAGTCGTAGAATGCTCTAGAAAAGTATTACAGACGAATTTCGGGACACCCTGTATAATTTGGGGAATAGAAGAAGAAAAATGATTAGCACCAATTAACCTTGATCTAATTCATTTGCAAGTGAACTGTCTCGTTGCATTGATAAACAGACAGGGCGGCCAACACACGGTACCTCAGAGGTTGCAACGTGTCGAGCGCCCTTGTCTGTCGAACGCAGGTGCCCTTGGCTGACTTGATCCTTTTATACAACCTATCTGATATTATTTCCCTTTAGACATGCATAACGCTCCGATTGTTATATGGTGATTATATAAATAAAACATACTGGTGGACTTGTTTACCTCAACACCGATTATTCACCCATAACATCGTCTCGTTTTTTTTGCAACCGATCATTGTTAGACACTTGGACGGGAAAATAGTGGGTGCG